TAAGATGCCCATCCAAAAGTTTTTGTTGAAAATTGACACTCCCTGCTGACGCCACCAACTGTGGGAGGGAATTCCACATCCTTGCTGCTCTAACCAGGGCTTTTTTTTCTCTCTCAGAGAATAGGTGAAGGAGCTCCCCCTTTCTGAATCACCCATTGTCTGCTCCCCCTACCCACCTCTGAGCACCATATCTTGGTTCCATCCTTTACCCACCTCCCAGTACCACCCTTTTTAAAGAATACAGAAGCAAGTATCATTTTGTGGTGCTCAGTAATTTATATGGAAATTGTTAATTATAACAAGAAAAGTAGTAAAATAAATCCCCTTCAGCCAGGAACATAGACCCCTCAGCAACAATAGATCCCCTCACGGTTATAGATCCATCAGTAGACCCCCAGCAGCAACAACAGATCTCCCAGCAACCAACATCAATAGACATCTCCTTCAATGGTAGATCCCTTACAGCAGCAATTGAACCCCCAGAAACATAAGACCCTTCCCCCAGCATCAATAGATTCCCCACCAGCAACAAAAGACCCCCCCCCCCCCCCAGCAAAAATAGACCACACTGAAAAATAAATTCCCCTCCAGCGACAATAGATGCCCCAGCAGCCAGCATCATTAGACCCTCCAGCCCACCCAGCACCACTTGCCATCACATACATTCAGTGCTGGAGGTGCTGGGACTACATTCTCACTTTAGGCTTGAAGAAGCAGAGGACAGGGTTCAATTCTGCGGCTCTTGACTTGAGTAGGTCACTGCACCTTTAAACTGTAGTATAAGATCTTCTGTGCGCTTGATGGGGCCCAAGTTGGTGCACTTTATGAATTTAAATCCCAAATCTAGAAGTTCCTTAATAAGGTGTGAATACAAAAGAAAGGAGCTGACTCTTTAAGTGGTAGGTAGCTTGGACGATACCCCTTTAACAAACACATGGTAAGATGTAAATTTAGGCAGGGGTTAAAGAATGAGCAGAAGTCCCTTTCTGTAGGGATTAATTCCGCTTGTGACCCCATTGGCAAACTGCCACAATACAGAATCTCTTTGGTGACTGAGGGCCGACTGCAATGAAAGCAGTGATATGGCTTAACTTGCGGAGGGCAAGACACAACAGTGGGCTTTTGTGACTGGATTATGCTGAATGTGTAGTAAATGGTAGGCCGGGGGAGCTAGGCCTTAACATGTGTAAGTTGTGAACGGTGTCAGTTGAACTAGGCAGAAAGCAGCAGACATGGATAATGTGATTGGCAACTTGAATGACTTGATAATAGAACTCTCTCACCCGGTGGCACCGTTCAGGTAGCCAATGGTCTGAATGTAGATGAGGGCCCCCAGTGTTCCTGCTTCAGAGATCACTCCAGGCAGCAGCACTCTGGACCATCAGCCCGTGAGACAGGTCACCAGACTCGTCGGCTCTCAGCAGCTTTCCTTCTCCCTCTCTCTCTCTCCAGCCCAGGTCCCACATGGTTTTCTCCACTACACCTGCTTTCGCTTCCAGCTCTCACCCCCTCGCTTCCTGCCCCAGGTTCACAGGCTTCTGTATATATCTGTCCTCCCCTACACACCAGCTTCTCTGGGAAATGTAGTTTGTGAACTCACACAGCAAAGTCCTGCAGTCAGCCTACGAATCCCCCAAAGCTTTGTAACAGGGCCTGCGCAATTGGGCTGCAAGATGCTGCCATCGTGTGTCCATTTAACATCCTGCAAGCGGTATCATGGCAGGGTGTGTTACAATTGTATATCTTTATATACTTGGAGGGGAGGATCCAAGGGATTCTTGCTGATCTGGGGAAGGGCTATTTAGGGGGAATGTGTTTTGGATGTTGGGTAGTCCTGAGGAAGGAAGTGCACCCTTAAAACACATAAAAGAGGATGCTCATTTGAGGCTGAATGGGTTGAATATTTGGACATTTTCTGTACTCTGTGTGTGGATCTCTCCTTGGATGGATTATGTGGTACGTGTGTTCCCCAAGCACTTTTATTGGTATGACATAATTTTATAATAAAGTTTTATTGAAGATATTGCACCATGTCTGTGCACTGCGTATCTGTTCTATGGTGGTGTAGAAGGATTTCCTGGAGTGCTGCAAGGCCATAGATATCACTATGTCTTCCTAGGGCAGTGGTCGGCAAGCCGCGGCTCGTGAGCCACATGCGGCTCTTTACAAACTTAAATGCAGCTCTTCTGTGTGCCGGGCGCCCGCTCCCCTCCCTCCTCTCGGGCGGCCGCCCCCCCCCCCTCCTCTCGGGCGGCCGCCCCAAAAGTCAGGACTCTGCAGCTGTCAGGATGTAGGCGGGGCAGCCAGGATGTAGGCGGGGCAGCGTGACGAACTCCTCACCTCTCACAGTCCGCCCTGAAGACCAGAACGGCGTGGGAACACGGCGAGAGGAACGCGCGGAGCAAAGGTAAGTGAATTGACACAATATGGGGAATGAATTACTATAGGGGGGATGAATTACTATATGGGGGATGAATTACTATGGGGGATGAATTACTATATGGGGGATGAATTACTATATGGGGGATGAATTACTATATGGGGGATTAATTACTATGGGGGATGAATTACTATATGGGGGATGAATTACTATGGGGGATGAATTACTCTATGGGGGATGAATTACTATGGGGGATGAATTACTATAGGGGGGATGAATTACTATGGGGGATGAATTACTATATGGGGGATGAATTACTATATGGGGGATGAATTACTATGGGGGATGAATTACTATAGGGGGATGAATTACTATGGGGGATGAATTACTATAGGGGGGATGAATTACTATGGGGGATGAATTACTATATGGGGGATGAATTACTATAGGGGGATGTATTACTATAGGGGGGATGAATTACTATGGGGGATGAATTACTATATGGGGGATGAATTACTATGGGGGATGAATTACTATGGGGGATGAATTACTATATGGGGGGTGAATTACTATGGGGGATGAATTACTATGGGGGATGAATTACTATATGGGGGATGAATTACTATATGGGGGATGAATTACTATAGGGGGGATGAATTACTATGGGGGATGAATTACTATAGGGGGGATGAATTACTATGGGGGATGAATTACTATATGGGGGATGAATTACTATGGGGGGATGAATTACTATATGGGGGATGAATTACTATATGGGGGATGAATTACTATGGGGGATGAATTACTATGGGGGATGAATTACTATAGGGGGGATGAATTACTATGGGGGATGAATTACTATATGGGGGATGAATTACTATATGGGGGATGAATTACTATGGGGGATGAATTACTATAGGGGGGATGAATTACTATGGGGGATGAATTACTATAGGGGGGATGAATTACTATGGGGGATGAATTACTATATGGGGGATGAATTACTATAGGGGGGATGAATTACTATAGGGGGGATGAATTACTATAGGGGGGATGAATTACTATGGGGGATGAATTACTATATGGGGGATGAATTACTATGGGGGATGAATTACTATATGGGGGATGAATTACTATGGGGGATGAATTACTATATGGGGGATGAATTACTATGGGGGATGAATTACTATATGGGGGATGAATTACTATAGGGGGGATGAATTACTATAGGGGGGATGAATTACTATGGGGGATGAATTACTAAATGGGGGATGAATTACTATATGGGGGATGAATTACTATGGGGGATGAATTACTATATGGGGGATGAATTACTATGGGGGATGAATTACTATATGGGGGATGAATTACTATGGGGGATGAATTACTATATGGGGGATGAATTACTATGGGGGATGAATTACTATGGGGGATGAATTACTATATGAGGGATGTATTTTCAGTTTTAAAAATGTGGCTCTCAAAATAAATTTCAATTGTGGTTTTGGCGAGATTTGGCTCAGTTGAAAAAAAAAGTTGCCCACCACTGTCCTAGGGGAACCCTCCAATGAGCTCTAGATGGTAGAACGTTTATAGAAGGATTATAGCTTCCCATCACTCTGCAGCTGAGACATTGTATCAGATTGTAAATGTTTAATTCAGATCAGTAATTCAATAGATTTATATCAGTCTCTTTGTAGATTCATATCAGTGTTTTGGTAATGTCAGTGTCTGCATAGGTACACATCAGTGTCTTGGCAGATTCAAGTTGGTGTCTGGGTAGATTCATATACGTGTCTCTGTAGTAGGCTTCCTATACACCACTGTCATTAGCTGGTATGTACACTGGTGTCATTGGCGGGTATGTACACTGGTGTCATTGGCGGGTATGTACACTGGTGTCATTGGCGGGTATGTTTACTGCTGTCATTGGTAGGTATGTACACTGGTGTCATTGATGGGTATGTACACCGATGTCATTGGCTGGTATGTACGCCGCTGTCATTGGCTGTTATTTAAGCCACCGTCATTGGGTGGTAGGTAGGCCGCCATCATTGGGTGATAGGTAGGCCGCCATCATTGGTTGGTAGGCACGCCGCCGTCATTGGGTGGTAGGTACGCCACCATCATTGGGTGGTAGGTACGCCACCATCATTGGGTGGTAGGTACGCCGCCGTCATTGCATGGTAGGTAAGCCGTGGTCATTGCATGGTAGGTAAGCCGTCGTCATTGGGTGGTAGGTAAGCCGTCGTCATTGGGTGGTAGGTACGCCGTCGTCAATGGGTGGTAGGTATGCCGCTATCTTTGGTTGGTAGGTATGCCACTATCTTTGGTTGGTAGGTAGGCCACTGTCTTTGGGTGGTATTTAGGCCACCTCCTTTAGGTGGTATTTAGGCCGCCATCATTGGGTGGTAGGTACGCCACTGCCATTGGGTGGTAGGTACGCCGCTGTCATTGGGTGGTAGGTACAGCACTAGCAGAGGCCCTCATCACCCCTCACCCGCTGCAATTCATGTATAAAATAAGCTCTGGAGTTCAGGGACTAGGACTTTCTGTAGCTAATTCTCCTAATATAAAAATAATTCTCAACAAATATTATGTTTTCTTTCTTGCTGCAGCAGTGGACGACCAGTGTGAGCTGAAGTCTGTGGAGCACGGCGATGATGTTGTACCATTGACGGCGAAGGAAGCAAGTCGGCTGAACGAGGAGGAAGTGATAAAATATTTACATGTGAGACTCACTTTAGTTTTATTTGTTAATCCGGCAATGAGCCATTTTCATTCTAGCCTGCGATCGGATTCCCCCTTTAAGCTTTATTACATATGGGGATGAGGTGCATCATTGAGGGCAGGTTTTTTGTATTAAATTGCTGGAGCAAAGTCATCTGTGAATTATTGTGCGGTCGGTGGTGGCGGAGGGATGTTTGGGTATTACAGGTACCTGAAATCAGTGACATTACGCACATGTAGACATCACGCACTCATACCTGCTCACCTATCATGATATAAATCCGGGATCAGCAACCTTATCAACATTGAAGTGACACTAAACAATATCACTCATACACATCTACTACTTAATACCCCTGTAGTCTATTTTTCATGAAATTGTTTTTCTGCCTCCTTGTAATATCCTCTGTGACCTTCTAAACCGCTCCTTTTTCCCCTCACGTGAGCAGTGCATGTTAGTTGCAGTCAATTGCATTACTCTATGCATACTACCACATCCCATAGTCCATAATCCCAGAATCATTAGTCCCATAATCCATAGTCCATCTCAGGAGTGAGCAAGAGACGGTGGCTACATTCCTACAAACAGTGGGACCATGGAGAAGGAACGTAGCCACCCTCTAACAGGAAGTCTGATCACAGTTGCAGATTAGGAGGAGGCTGGCATAAATAGAAGGGACTTTTCTGACTTAAAGAGGAGCTCCAGTCAGTTTTCTGAAAATGAAAAGTAATCCGCTGCAAAAACTGTAGCTTCTGACTTTTAATAAACAGACACTTATCTGTACCAGGATCAGTCCTCAGATCATCCCCAGTGCATGCACCCAGTCCTAGTCCCCAGTCAGATCATCCCCCCAGTGCATGCAACCAGTCCTCAGATCATCCCCAGTGCATGCAACCAGTCCCCAGTCAGATCATCCCCAGTGCATGCCCCTCATCCTCAGTCATCCTCAGATCATCCCCAGTGCATGCCCCTCAATCCTCAGATTATCCCAGTACATGCCCCTCAGTCCTCAAGATCTTCCCCTCAGTCCTCAAGATCAGATCATCCCCAGTGCATGCATCCCAGTCCTCAGATCATCCCCAGTGCATGCACCCCAGTCCTCAGATCATCCCCAGTGCATGCACCCCAGTCCTCAGATCCCATCCCAGATCAGTGCATGCACCCCAGTCCTCAGATCATCCCCAGTGCATGCACCCCAGTCCTCAGATCATCCCCCTCAGTGCCTCATGCATGCATCCCAGTCCTCAGATCATCCCCAGTGCATGCATCCCAGTCCTCAGATCATCCCAGTGCATGCACCCCAGTCCTCAGATCATCCCCAGTGCATGCATCCCAGTCCTCAGATCATCCCCAGTGCATGCATCCCAGTCCTCAGATCATCCTCAGTGCATGCACCCCAGTCATCAGATCATCCCCAGTGCATGCACCCCAGTCCTCAGATCATCCCCAGTGCATGCAACCAGTCCTCAGATCATCCCCAGTGCATGCACCCCAGTCCTCAGATCATCCCCAGTGCATGCAACCAGTCCTCAGATCCCCAGTGCATGCCCCCAGTGCATGCCCCTCAGTCCTCAGATCATCCCCAGTGCATGCACCCCAGTCCTCAAGATCTTCCCCAGTCCTCAGATCATCCCCAGTGCATGCATCCCAGTCCTCAGATCATCCCCAGTGCATGCACCCCAGTCCTCAGATCATCCCCAGTGCATGCACCCCAGTCCTCAGATCATCCCCAGTGCATGCACCCCAGTCCTCAGATCATCCCCAGTGCATGCCCCCAGTCCTCAGATCATCCCCAGTGCATGCATCCCAGTCCTCAGATCATCCCCAGTGCATGCATCCCAGTCCTCAGATCATCCTCAGTGCATGCATCCCAGTCCTCAGATCATCCCCAGTGCATGCACCCCAGTCCTCAGATCATCCCCAGTGCATGCCCCTCAGTCCTCAGATTATCCCCAGTGCATGCACCCCAGTCCTCAGATCATCCCCAGTGCATGCCCCTCAGTCCTCAGATCATCCCCAGTGCATGCCCCCAGTCCTCAGATCATCCCCAGTGCATGCATCCCAGTCCTCAGATCATCCCCAGTGCCTGCACCTCAGTCCTCAGATCATCCCCAGTGCATGCCCCTCAGTCCTCAGATCACCCCCAGTGCATGCCCCTCAGTCCTCAGATCATCCCCAGTGCATGCCCCTCAGTCCTCAGGTTATCCCCAGTGCATGCCCCTCAGTTCTCAGATTATCCCCAGTGCATGCCCCTCAGTCCTCAGATCATCACCAGTGCATGCCCCTCAGTCCTCAGATCTGTCCCAATTGTAGTGCTACCCCTATAGGAGCCACTGGTTAGGATGGGTCCTCTGTTCTTTGTCTCACCCACTTTAGGAACTTCAGCCCCTCTGACACATTATTTTGTACAAAGCATGCAATATCACAGAAGATCACTGAAAGTAATACTTAGTACCCAGTAGTACTATATTAAATAAACAGGCACTGAACCAGTTACTAAAGGTAAACTTAATATGTTGTCACCGGATATGGTTGGTAAAGAAGTAAGCATAGAAACGGATTAACAATGGTAATAATACAATTTAGTGTACACGGTGATTAGTAATAAGGACTAGGCATACGATGACACTTAGCATGCCGATCAGCATTAACTGTAACAAGGTCACCTAAAGTGCAGCCATGATTGACTTACTGAACACTATACTGCCAAAGTACATAATTGGCATTATCTATGCTAGCCCTAGAGTGACTGGATGAGCATTGTTTATAGAAATGAAGAAAAGGGGAGAGGGGAACAAAGGGGATTGGCATGATAGTTTTATGGGAGGGGCAGTCCTTTATGCTGTTCTTCTGCTGGCTACTGTAGGGGCCCTTTAAGAAGTGTTGGTGCATTTAACTTCAGTTTCAATGAACCAGGATGCATTATAGATGCAGTAGAAATGCAGCAAAGGTGTGCTATAGGAGGTGCAGTATAATGTCCTTCCTCCAGCAACTCACAGCTAGTAGTGTAAACAATGAGTAGTGCCCTCTCACCAGCCCCTGTGGTGCAGCTGTGAACTCTTGCTGTAGAAAGAGGGGTCTCCTAAGTCTCTCTGCATAATGCCTCTGGAGATTCAGCCATGGCAAATGTAGGATGGAAGGATGCTCTAGTCTCCCTGCGGCAATGGTGCAGGTACAACTGCAGCAGTCTGTGCTACCTTGCCTTGGGTGGTCTGTCCTCTCAGCCTGGTCAGTATGCAGCAGATGTGCTCTCCTCGGATTTCTTGGTGCCAAGAGAGTGAGCCTACCTGAGCAGTCTCAGAGAAGCAGTTCCACCACTCTTCCTTGCCCTAGTGTCTCTTGCGAATTATAGTGCAAAGGGTCCATAAGCTCCACAATACGGCTTAGTTCCTGGACTTCAAATTCCATTATTCTCAGTGTTCTTCATAGACATCCATATGCTTTTCTCACTATAGTTCCCCCTTGCTGACTGGAAGGGTAGTGCAACACAACATTCAGCAGAAAGTGAAAGTAGAGTAAAGAGGGAAATGTCTCCTCAATGTTTCTGTAGTCCAGAACCTGGCTACATAATACACCTCAGTCCTCAGATCAGCCCCAACCAACACATTTATATCATATCTCAGATCAGCCTCAATGATTGTTATTCAGTCCTCAGAACTAATGAATGCTCTTTATATGTCAGATCGGCCACAGTGCATTCAATGGAGACCTAAAATCAGCCCCAATGCATGCATTTCATACCTCAGATCAGCCCCATAACATACATGCACCTCTGAGCTTAGATCAGCCCCAATGCATGCTATTCAGTCCTCGTATCACATCAGCACCAGTGCATGCATGTCAAACCTCCAGATCAACCCCAATGCAGGAACCTCAGTCTTCAGATCAACCCCAATGCATGGACCTCAGTCTTCAGATCAACCCCAATGCATGGACCTCAGTCTTCAGATCAACCCCAATGCATGGACCTCAGTCTTCAGATCAACCCCAATGCATGGACCTCAGTCTTCAGATCAACCCCAATGCATGGACCTCAGTCTTCAGATCAACCCCAATGCATGGACCTCAGTCTTCAGATCAACCCCAATGCATGGACCTCAGTCTTCAGATCGACCCCAATGCATGGAACCTCAGTTTTCAGATCGACCCCAATGCATGGACCTCAGTCTTCAGATCGATCCCAATGCATGGACCTCAGTCTTCAGATCAACCCCAATGCAGGAACCTCAGTCTTCAGATCAACCCCAATGCAGGAACCTCAGTCTTCAGATCAACCCCAATGCAGGGACCTCAGTCTTCAGATCAACCCCAATGCATGGACCTCAGTCTTCAGATCAACCCCAATGCAGGAACCTCAGTCTTCAGATCAATCCCAATGCATGAACCTCAGTCTTCAGATCAACCCCAATGCAGGAACCTCAGTTTTCAGATCAACCCCAATGCAGGAACCTCAGTCTTCAGATCAACCCAAATGCAGGGACCTCAGTCTTCAGATCAACCCCAATGCATGGACCTCAGTCTTCAGATCAACCCCAATGCAGGAACCTCAGTCTTCAGATCAATCCCAATGCATGAACCTCAGTCTTCAGATCAACCCCAATGCAGGAACCTCAGTTTTCAGATCAACCCCAATGCAGGAACCTCAGTCTTCAGATCAACCCCAGTGCATGAAACGCAGTCTTCAGATCAACCCCCCAATGCAGGAACCTCAGTCTTCAGATGAACCTCAGTCTTCAGATCAACCCCCCCCCCCCCTCACCAGGGCACACAACTCAGTCCTCAGATCAACACCCCACCCCACCCCCAGTGCATGAACCTCAGTCCTCAGATGATCAACCCCCCCCCCCCCAAGTGCACAAACCTCAGTCCTCAGATCCCCCCCCCCCCAAGTGCACAAACCTGAGTCCTCAGATGCCCCTCCTTTCAGTGCATGGATCTCAGTCCTCGGATCAAAAAACAACCCCCCCCTTTCCGTGCACAAACCTCAGTCATCAGATGATCAACCCCCCCCCCCCCCCCAAGTGCACAAACCTCAGTCCTCAGAACCCCCCCCAGTGCATGGATCTCAGTCCTCGGCTCAAACAACTCCCCCCAGTGCACAAACCTCAGTCTGCAGATCAACTCTCCCCCCCCCCCAAGTACACAAACCTTGATCCTCAGATAACCCCCCCCCCCCCCCCCGTGCACAAACCTCAGTCATCAGATCAAACCCCCCCCCCCCCCCCCCCCAGTACATGAACCTCGGTCCTCAGATCAACCCCAATGCTTGCACATCAGGCCTCAGATCAACCCCAAGCCCTCTTTCTGTATGAACACAGGGTACTGGTGTAGGTACATGGTGAGGCCTCTCCTGCATAGCACACCTACACCCTCAGCCTCAAGCATCAGGGAGGAGGTGGGCGGGGCTTTGTACATCGTAACCTGGTGAGCTGTCAGTTGCAGCCAGTGGCAGTGTGAAGGGAATTGTGTACCCGCCATGTTCATGTATGGGTGGGTTTGCCTGCTGTAACCAATACACCATCCCACCAGCCCGTCCTCTGCACTGTCATTCTGATGCTCTCTCCATTTACAGGTGGATGTGAACTCTGGTCTGTCCGAGTGCGCGGTCCTCCAGCGGCGGGTGAAGCATGGCTGGAATGAATTTCAGGTGGACAGCGCTGATCCCGTGTGGAAGAAGTACCTGGGACAGGTGAGATATGATAAGTGCATCAATTTGGTTATCCTATTCAGAAGGGCTTTCGCTATGCGCCCTGGTCAGGACTGCAGCCTCTGGTCACATGATTCTATGGTGTCCCTGCAGCATCTAGGTAATATAAACTCACATTACAGACTCATTCAGTGATCTCTCTGACTTCACCCAGGAGCTCTCTAATCGACTTCCACTCCCCGTCAGGGTTAAGCTGTCGCTCCATGCAGCCTCCAAAACACTGCGAGCCCATTACACTCTCAGTGAAGGAAGAGAGGAAACACTTAGTGAGTTTCTGTGTCCTCTGGGAGGGGAGAGATGTCTGCATCCACTTCTCTGCACACTTAGACACTGTCCCCAGGGCCAACTGCGCCGCGCCTTCTCTCAGCCAATCACAGGCTGATGTGTAATCATTTCTGCATGAGACTTAAATAACACACCATACAGGGAGGGGCATCTGTACTGCAGCAGCTACAGAGGGACTACAACTACCAGCAGGGCCTGCCACATGGAGGGAAAGGGGGGTCTGTAACACCTCAAGCAAGAAAAAATTAAGTGTGAGGTTAAAAAAAAAAAATCTGAGCAGCGTTTGATTTTGAAGAGCAGCTGAAATCAATAAATATAATTAATTAATTTACGCTTCCCTCCTTCCCTCCGAGATCCAGGGAGAGGGTCTGATATAGTCCATACCTGACACGTGTACCTGGGCCTGCCCCCTTCACCTGCATCTGGCTGACAACCTGGCTCATACAGGAGCAGAGCTGGGAAATCGCCTACTGCTCTATAAATGTAGAATAATAATAGTGTGTGACTGGAGAAGGGGACATTAGAGTGTAAGCTCCTGTGGTACTGAGACTGATGTGACTGGTTCAGTGTTCTCTGTACCGCACTGCAGTATATGTCAGAGCTATATAAATGTATAAAAAATAGTAATGGTGTTTGACTGGGGGGGGGAGTATTTGAGTGCAAGCTCCTCTGGTGCAGAGACTGATGTGACTGGCTTTGTGTTCTCTGTATCACACTGCAGTATATGTCAGAGCTATAAAAAAGTGTATAATAATGTGGGCAGCACAGTGGCTAAGTGGTTAGCACTTCCACCTAGCAGCACTAGGGTCGATGGTTTGAATCCCAACCACATCATTACCTGCCTGGAGTCTGTATGTTCTCCCTGTGCCTGTGCGGGTTTCCTCCGGGTACTCCAGTTTCCTCCCACCCTCCAAAGACATGCCGGTAGGTTAATTGGCCCTAGTATGCATATGTATGAATGTGAGTTAGGGACATTAGATTGTATGCTCCTTGAGGGTTAGGGACTGATGTCAATGTACAATATATATGTAAAGCACTGCGTAAATTAACGGTGTTATAGAAGTACATATAATAAATACAAATAAAATAACAATAGTGTGTGACTGGGAAGGGGGGTATTAGAGTGTAAGCTCCTCTGGTGCAGAGACTGATGTGACTGGTTTGGTGTTCTCTGTACAGCACTGTGGTATATGTCAGAGCTATATAAATGTATAATAATAATAGTGCGTGACTGTGGGGGGACATTAGAGTGTAAGCTCCTCTGGTGCAGAGACTGATGTGACTGGCTTGGTGTTCTCTGTACAGCACTGCGGTATATATCAGAGCTATATAAATGTATAATAATAATAGTGCGTGACTGTGGGGGGACATTAGACTGTAAGCTCTTGTGGTACAGAGACTAATGTGAGTGGTTTAGTGTTGTCTGTACAGCTCTGTGGTTTATGTCAGAGCTATATAGAGGTATTCTAATAATATCAGGGTGTGACTGTGGGGGAACATTAGATTGTAAGCTCTTCTGGTGCAGAGACTGATGTGACTGGTTCAGTGTTCTCTGTACAGCACTGCGGTATATGTCAGAGCTATATAAGTGTATAATAATAGTGTGTGACTGTTGGGGGACATCATACTGTAAGCTCCTATGGTAAAGAGCCTGATTTCCTGGCTCATTGTTCTCTGTACAGCCCTGCAGTATATGTCTCAGTTATATAAATGTATAATAATCATTTATATATACAGATGAAGGTTGGATGTTCTTCTTTTCTTTTTTTTTTTTTTTTGTCAGTTTACGAATCCACTCATCCTTTTGTTGCTCGGCTCCGCCCTGGTCAGTGTCATAACAAAGGAATACGAGGACGCGGTCAGCATCACGGTGGTAAGTTGACGCTTTTGGTGATTTGGTAGTTCTGCCTTCAGATGAATTTAATCTGAACAAACTTTGCCCAGATCAGCCCCCCACTATGTGTGAAAAATATAAAAAAAAACTAAATAAGGTCAGCGCTAACAAAAAACAGAAAGTGAAAATTATGATGTGTGGCTGCATACAATCGATACCGATATACCAAGATCTTATAAGTGCTAAAAAGAGAAGTTGCAGCGCTAAACTCAAAAATTTTGAATAATGTCAATAGATAAATACCATCAAGTGTGAAAAATAAAATTCACATAAAACAAAAATAGTATACATAAGTCCAATGGTGTTCAAATCAATGATTGTGGACTGTGATAAACTGATTAGAATAGTCCCAATGTCCACTGTATAATACCCCCCACTATGTGTGAGGGCTTTCCCAACTTCCTCAGGAGTCCAAGGAGCCTGCAATGGAATCTTCTAATATATACTGTATATATTATATGTAGATCTTGTTATTCCCATGCTGAGTCTCATGTCTGTAGTTTGTTGGCACCCCCACCAATCAGTAGTCTGATCCAAAACTCCTTTATTGATTGGTTGGAATGGCTTCCAATATCTTTTTTAAAGGGGCACTCCACCTATGAGTGGTTCCAGACCAGTTTGGGTGACATACCCAGTGATGTGAGTGTTCTCTGCCAGGGATCCTAGCGCCCCCCCCCCACCACCACCACCACCCTTTTCCCTTGCAGGCTCTGATTCCTCTGCTTCTCATGTGGTAGGAAGGGATTTCTGCATCTGGGTGAGACTGTCTAGCAGTGGATGAACCTCAAGCAGAAAGTGTATATTTAGTCCTTAGATCTTTGTATGTCAGTCCGTCAATGTGGCCCCTGAGGCTTTTTGCACTCGACTCACAAATTATTTTTGGCAGTTCCTGCTCATTCCAGATCATTGACCTGTGTGTTGTCTCTTCTTGCTGCAGGCTATTCTCATTGTTGTGACGGTGGCCTTTGTTCAGGTATGGGGGGGTCCTGGGAGTTGTGGATGGATTTCGGTGGGGTGGTATGTGGATGTTTTCCAAAGGGGTGGTAAAAATAGGGGGGGGGGATTTTGGTATGTGGAGGTATTTCAGTTTGGGTGGGGAAGTGGGGTATATGGAGGTATAAGGGGGAGGGGGTGGTTATTTTGGTATATGGTTGTATTTCAATGGGATAGTATATGGAGGTGATGTATTTCAGTGGGGTGGTTTGTGGAAGTATTCGGATGGGATGGGACGTAAACATTTTGTGGAATGTGGAGTTATTCCAATGGGGTAGTGTGTGGAGGTATTTTAGTAAATTAAGTTATTCCAATGAGGTGGTACTGTATATGGAGGTATTTTGGTGGGGTGTTACATGAAGGTACAGTACTTCAGTATGTGGAATTCCAGTGGGGTGGTATGTGAAGGTATTTGTGGTGGGGTGGTGTGTGTGGGTATTTTGGGATATGGAGATATTCTAATGGGGTGGTATATGGAGGTATTTCAGTGGGGTGGTATATGGGGTGGTATATGGAGGTTATTTAGTGGGGTGGTATATGGAGGTATTTCAGTGGGGTGGTATATGAAGGTATTTTACTGGGGTGGTATATGGTGATATTTCAGTGGGGTGGTATATTGTGGTATTTTACTGGGGTGGTATATGGAGGTATTTCAGTGGGGTGGTATATGAAGGTATTTTAGTGAGGTGGTATAGGAAGGTATATTAGTGGGGTGGTAATATGGAGGTATTTCAGTGGCGTGGTATATGAAGGTATTTCAGTGGGCTGGTATATGAAGGTATTTTAGTTGGGTGGTATATGGAGGTATTTCAGTGTGGTGGTATATGGAGGTATTTCAGTACGGTGGTATATGAAGGTATTTCAGTATGTGGAGTTATTCCAGTGGGGTGGTATGTGATGGTATATTTCATGGGATGGTATGGGATGGTGTGGTGCAGGTATTATGGGGATATGAAGGTATTTCAGTGGGATGGGTATATGAAGGTATTTCAGTGGGATGGTATATGAAGGTATTTCAGTGGGATGGTATGTATATGAAGGTCTTTCAGTGGAATGGTATATGAAGGTATTTCAGTGGGATGGTATATACGAAGGTATTTCAGTGGGATGGTATACGAAGGTATTTCAGTGGGATGGTATACGAAGGTATTTCAGTGAGGTGATATATGGACTTATTCCAATGGGTGATATATGGGGGTATTGAAGTGGGGCCAGTATGTGAAGGTATTCTGGTGGAGTGATATGTGGAGGCATTTTGGTGGGATGGGATGTGGTTATATGAAAGTATTCCAACAGGGTGGTCTATGGGGTCTTTCAGCATGTGGGGTTATCTCAATAGGGAGGGGTGTGAATGTATTCTAATGGGAAGTTATATGGAGGTATTCCAATCGGATGGTATATTGGAGGTAATTCAGATTGTGAAGGTATTCGGTGGGGCGAAGGTGTGGGGGGGGGGGGGGTTAATGCATCCAATGGGGTGTTTATATGGTATTTTGGTGGGTTGGGGTGTGGGCGTCTTGCAATCAGGTGTTATATGGAAGTATTTCAGTATGTAGCGGTGTGCGGACACACAGAGAAGGGCTGTCCTCCTCACCCTCATTATACATACAGCGCCAGTCTGACCTTCATACGGAGACGCTGTGTGCGCAGCGTGCCGTCATCCTGTCTGTGATTTATCACAATGCCACCCCCGTACCAAGAACAGAAATGTTTGTATTTCACAGTTCAGGTGGAGAGTGTTGATGTTCCTATCAGTCACCACTTTGTGATCTTGACATAAATCAGAGGGTAAATGTATATATAGATGAATATAATATACATTCCCTATGGTATTATTATGTATTCATCTCACCTTCCATCTTTGTAACACGGCTTCAATCCTAGAATTAGAGGAACCCCCGTCCTCCTTTCTTTGTACAGAGAAGGATGAAATGGGTTCTTCATATCCCCCTTGTCAGATGAATGGTGCTCTGTTGTCTGATGCTCCAGCGCCCTACTGTCTGATGCTGTTATGCACACTCAGGAGCTCTGAGGCTGTTATTATGAAGCCAGATCATTGACAGGGCAGCTGTTCTCACACCTTGGGAGTCTCTCTGCTCTGACTTTTAGAGGGGATTGGGGGGGGGGGGGGTGAGTTTGGGGGAAGGTATTTTATAAGTCTTTTACTAATAATCTGAATTTGTGTGATGACCAGCACTGTGAACTGTCAGTTCTTCAGTCTGCACTGCATGATGTCACTGTGCGGTCTATCAGTGGCACAGTGTCTGGCAGTAGTGCAGGTGGTCTAGTGATAGGCAATGCAGGGATAAGGCGCCCTTATTGATCTATTGGTACCAATTGGTATTTGATTGGAGGGACAGGATGGAACATTCAGTGTATGTGCTGTTGTGTGTTTTTTTTTTTAAGTGCACTGTTGTAATGACTGTTAAGCCAGGAGAGGGAGTCTCATTCCTCCTGCTGCATTCACCATCATTGAGACTAATAAGTACCCTCTTGTAATGGCTGCAATAGTTGGAGCTAAGAGAAAATTATTGATTGGGTTCAACATTCCTGTGCCACCCAAAACTGAAATATTTTTGCATGGAAGGGGGAGGGATTAAAAAAAAAAAAAAAGTTTTGACCCACTTGTATCTGTTTTCTAGGAATATCGCTCGGAAAAGTCTCTGGAAGAGTTAAACAAGTTGGTTCCCCCAGAATGCAACTGGTGAGTCCCTGGTTGTTAGCGGCTAATTAAAGAAGACCTCCCCTTCTACCTAGATTTTCCATAGATCTCTAGTACTCCCCTATGACTAACCTCCTCTGACCAGCATGTCATTGGCCAGACTGTCTGTCTTTTTGGAAATCTTGAGTCCCACAATGCATTGCTTCAGCTATTGCATGCTCATCTTCGGTGACAGCTCAGAAATGAGACCCCAGAAAGGGTCGTGGTGGGTTAGGAAGTGTGGTCACATGGTTAAGCTGACCACAGAGGAAAACCTGGTCATGGAAAACATTCTCTGTGCTTTAAACCAGAACCCCAACTGACAATGAAGAATTTTTACAGACGGTAGGGATTTGCAGAAAAGGGACAAAAATATGTGAAATCATTTCTACTGATAAAACAATCACCAAAGGTTTTCCTCCAAAGTGAAGTTACCCTTTAAATTAGGCAATAGTGAGCAGAGACCCAGAGCAGCCAATCAGAAATCAGCTGGTTTGTGGATTTCAGGACGTGGTCTATGTGGTTATAGGTGGTAATGCGCTTCCTCTCTCCGCAGCATTCGCGATGGCAAATTGCAGCACCTGCTGGCACGGGAGCTGGTCCCCGGGGATGTGGTGTGCCTGACGGTCGGCGACCGAGTTCCTGCAGATATCAGACTGACAGAGGTAACAGGTCACACAGATACCATGGCGTAGTCACCCAAAGTATCATTCTCTTTTTGTTTTTGGAACCTTTTGTCAGATGGCAGCTGATGAGAGATGGACGATTTCCTTCAGTGTGTTCTGTAAATTTGGTTATTTGGGGTAAAATTCTTATTGAAGGCTCAGGCCTGGTGCTTGTGCAGTTCTTGACGGTGTTCACAAATGTCTAACATAGATCAGTCCCCTGCTGCAGCCTCTCAGCTTGTGACTCCCTGCACAATTGCAATGTACAGTCTGATCATTGGAGAGGGGAAACTGAGGAAATGCTTCCTCCTGCCTGCTGCAGACATCTGCAGATAACATCTCAGCCTAGGCAATGTCCCTGACAGGAGATCATGGATGGCTTTTTTTATGATAAAAAGTGGAGCTTTTCTGAGAAACGATAATGTTGTTGTAGATTGTGACATGTCAGGAATGTAATCATGCAGACTAAAATGTAACCTCCTGCCCTCAGATGTGGTATTCACATTATTATTATTATTATTATTATTATACAGTATTTATAAAGCGCCGATAGTTCACTCAGCGCTGTACATTACAAAGGGGGACAGAACATGTGACAGAACAATACCAATACAATGCAAAACATGAGGGGATTGAGGGCCCTGCTCTTTCGAGGTTACAATCTAGGAGGGAGGGGATGGTGGCACAGGAGGAGATAGCTGTGGGGGATGGAGTGGTAGGAAGAGTGGAGGAGGTCGGAAGTTAGCAGGGGGTGGGGTAGGCTTCCCTGAAGAGATGGGTTTTCAGGGTGCACCTAAAGGAGAGGAGAGTAGGTGATAATCTGATGGGTTGGGGAAGGGAGTTCCAGAGGATGGGTGACACCCTGGAGAAGTCCTGGAGGCGGGCATGGGAGGAGGAGACCAGGGAACTAGAGAGAAGGAGGTCTTGTGAGGAGCGGAGTGTGCATGTTGGGCGGTACTTGGATATTAGGTCAGTGATGTAGTTCGGGGCAGTATTATGGACAGCTTTGTACGTCAGTGTTAGGATTTTGAATTTGATCCGTTGCGCAATCGGAAGCCAGTGGAGGGATTGGCAGAGGGGGGTGGCGGAAACGGAGCGGTTGGTGAGGTGGATGACTCTGGCAGCCGTATTCAGGATCGACTGAAGCGGAGATAGCCAGTGGCAAGGCAGGCCAGTGAGGAGGGAGTTGCAGTAGTTGAGTCGTGATATGATGAGGGGAGTGGATGAGCTGTTTAGTGATTTCTGGGGTTAGGAATGTGCGGATTTTGGCGATGTTGCGGAGGTGGAGTCTGCACATATAGGTGAACTGTTCTGGAAAATCTCCTGGATCAATCTACTCCACTTCCAGTGTCCAGTGTGTATAGCACGCCTTGCTGCCCCCCTCAAACCAGGGTAGTCTTATAGAAAAAAAAAAGAGGGCGCACTGGCCTAGTGCATTATCTTTAAACACCATTTATGAAGAGAAAAAATAGGTTATCATACTCTCAATCCAATAAAAAAAAGACATGGTCATCATAAATATCCACATGTAGAGCCTCCAGAACCAATGTACATGCTTCTTATAGGCTGTGAAGATGTCACATGGGTCTGAAAATTCCGACGCATTTCGAGGGACATCCCCTCTTCATCAGAGCTAAATAGTTCAGCTCTGATGAAGAGGGGATGTCCCTCGAAACACATCAGCTTTTACAGACCAGTGTGGCATCTTCCCAGCATATAAGACGCATGTACAGAGGTTCTGGAGGTTCTCCATGTGGATATTTATGACAAGCATGTCCTTTTTATTAATGAATTCATACACACCTACAGACAGGTCCTCTTTAAATGCTGGATTCTGACATTCAATCTCTCCCAGCTTGGCAGCATCAGCTGAGGTTGGTTTTGTGTCACTACAAAGGACCATATTGTCTGGACAATGTGATATCACAGAAGGTTTTGTAGTGAACAGATCTCTGATAAGGATGCTTTGCGTAATTCGGCCTCTCATTGTTCTCTGTATTCTGCTCACCTGGTCATTTGGTGTATTGTGCTCACCTGGTCATTTGGTGTATTGTGCTCACCTGGTCATTGGGTGTATTGTGCTCACCTGGTCATTGGGTGTATTGTGCTCACCTGGTCATTGGGTGTATTGTGCTCACCTGGTCATTGGGTGTATTGTGCTCACCTGGTCATTGGGTGTATTGTGCTCACCTGGTCATTGGGTGTATTGTGCTCACCTGGTCATTGGGTGTATTGTGCTCACCTGGTCATTGGGTGTATTGTGCTCACCTGGTCATTGGGTGTATTGTGCTCACCTGGTCATTGGGTGTATTGTGCTCACCTGGTCATTGGGCGTATTGTGCTCACCTGGTCATTGGGTGTATTGTGCTCACCTGGTCATTGGGTGTATTGTGCTCACCTGGTCATTAGGTGTATTGTGCTCACCTGGTCATTATGTGTTTTGTGCTTCCCTGTACAGATTGTTAATTACCCCCCCAGAGCCAAACTAGCAGAACCAGTGACACAATCAGATTTGTTTTGGGTTGCACCGCCCGTGTCTAAGCCTGGGGTCACCCAATAGCAGTGGGAAAGGACTTGCCACCTTCCTCCTAGTCCCTGGGGCGTTTCATATCCATTTCTTCACATATTATATGGTTTATTGTTAGCCGCGTGGACATTCCTCTTATGGAGGGAATTTTTTGTTGTGCATTTACAATTGTTCTCAAATTCTTCTCCACACTTAGCGATGGAGGATCTTTTATGTTTGAAACTGACAGGACTGACTTTTCCAGTTCCCTTTTGTGAAACGGCTTTGAGGCTGGGATTAGTAAACGAGCAATACCACCTTGGTTACTGAACCCAACTATGTGAAAGAGGAAGAATTTACCTTTCAGTAGTTTTTGTCAGAATACAAATATGTAGCAGAATAAATATGGATGATGTGCTGTGTATTGGGTGAGAATATGACATTGGGAAATTGAAAAGTACAGGTTTGGGTTTACAGGTAAGGTATGGATTCTACAAAAGTCAATGGGAAGAAGAGGGGTTGAAGGGTAAAGTCCCAACCCGGGTTAGGAAGATCACCAAGGATCAGCAAGGTAAGGTGAAAGATGGGGGCTTAGGAAAGGTGGGTTAAGGGCTGGTTATTGGGTATGAGCATGGATCAGGTAGGGAGGGGGGAGGGTGTATAGGTAAAAAGGTTTGGAGGTGGTACTGGAGAATAGGGGGGAAGAGGAATATAAAGAACAAGTGTAGGGGGGTTCAGAGTAGGTAGGGAGAGGTAGGTCACAGAAGTCCAATGGTTAAAGCCTGGTACACACATACTGAAATTTGGCTGGTTTAGCAGGAACCGGCTGAATTTCAAGACATCTGTTCAACAGAAGCAGATCTAATGACCAGCTTCAGTCGACCTGTCCTGCTGGGAAGCAAGCATTCAATCCACGCTTGCGCTCAAGAACAAAAAAAAACTGTACATGTATGCCCAACTTAAGATTCCGCATTCAATACCAACCGGTTGAAGGTTGCAGCCAGGTAGTGCGTAACCCAGGGGGTGGGAGAAGGATTTTTCACACCTGTTCAGAATATTTTACATTGTAGTAAACTGAAGAACCATTTGTTCCACTAAGAGGAATAATATGCCTGCTGTGCACCACACTGAATGTACCTATAAACACTGCAAGCTGCCAATTCAATAGTTGGACAATCCCCTTTTAAATAGATGTTAATATTTGCTTTTCAACTTCCACTTGGCATCTAGTGCTGTGCTAAGCTTCTTATTAACCATTTCTAAGTCCTATTCCTGCTTTCTTCTGCCCAACTGTTTTCCTTGTATGGTAGGTTAGAAACATTCCGCTGATCAAAGTTCTGGTGTCAGGGTTGTCTGATCTCCTCCCTTTGTTGTCAGTGGTATCTGAGGTCCTCCCCTCTGGTGTCAGGGGTATCTGAGGTCCTCCCCTCTGGTGTCAGGGGTTTCTGAGGTCCTCCCCTCTGGTGTCAGGGGTTTCTGAGGTCCTCCCCTCTGGTGTCAGGGGTATCTGAGGTCCTCCCCTCTGGTGTCAGGGGTTTCTGAGGTCCTCCCCTCTGGTGTCAGGGGTTTCTGAGGTCCTCCCCTCTGGTGTCAGGGGTTTCTGAGGTCCTCCCCTCTGGTGTCAGGGGTTTCTGAGGTCCTCCCCTCTGGTGTCAGGGGTTTCTGAGGTCCTCCCCTCTGGTGTCAGGGGTTTCTGAGGTCCTCCCCTCTGGTGTCAGGGGTTTCTGAGGTCCTCTCTTCTGGTGTCAGGGGTATCTGAGGTCCTCTCTTCTGGTGTCAGGGGTTTTCTGAGGTCCTCCCCTCTGGTGTGAGGTGTATCCGATGTCCTTCTCTCTGGTGTCAGAGGTATCTGAGGTCCTCCCCTCTGGTGTCAGAGGTATCTGAGGTCCTCCCCTCTGGTGTCAGGGGTATCTGAGGTCCTCCCCTCTGGTGTCAGGGGTATCTGAGGTCCTCCCCTCTGGTGTCAGGGGTATCTGAGGTCCTCCCCTCTGGTGTCAGGGGTATCTGAGGTCCTCCCCTCTGGTGTCAGGGGTATCTGAGGTCCTCCCCTCTGGTGTCAGGGGTATCTGAGGTCCTCACTTCTGGTGTCAGGGGTATCTGAGGTCCTCTCTTCTGTTGTCAGGGGTATCTGAGGTCCTCTCCTCTGGTGTAAGGGGTATCTGAGCTCCTTCCCTCTGGTGTTAGGGGTATCTGAGCTCCTCCCCTTTGGGGTCTGGGGTGTCATATCTCCTCCCATTTGGTGTTGGGTGTCATAGCTCCTCCCCTCTTGTGTCAGGGGTGTCTGAGCTCCTCCCCTCTGGTGCCTGGGGTGTCTGAGCTCTTCCCCTCTGGTGCCTGGGATGTCTGAGCTCCTCCCCTCTGGTGCCTGGGTTGTCTGATCTCCTCCCTCTGATGGCAGGGTGTCTGAGCTCCGTTCCTTTGGTATCAGGTGTTTCTCCGCATCTCCCTGCTGGTGTCAAGGGTGTCTGAGATCCTCCTCTCTGTTGGCCATCTC